CCCCCGGGCCCGGGGGCGTGGCGGCTCCTGCCGCTGCTTCCGGCTTGGCGGGCGGCAGCGCTGTCTTCGCCGGGGGCTGTAGCCGGGCAGTCAGGCCCATTTGAAAGGCTTTTCTCATTTTCCTCTTCTAATGCCATGTCTCCTAAGCCGCCCTGAGCTTCCTTTGTGGGGGGCGACCTGCCCCCCTGTGTCGGGGGAAAACTGACCTGTTTCGGGGGAAGACTTGCTAGTCAGCCCAGCTAATGATGGCCGCATCCGCAGAAGACTTAAGGCTAGGTTTTTAGATGGGTCTTTTCCAGTCTTAATTGCTGTGCCTGGTGCACAGGTGATGTGGGTGAGGGCTCAGCGGAGGTGCCTGGGAGATGAATGGGGACCCTGCTCTGAATTGAACCAGGAGCTTGGTCCTCCCAGCACCACTTACCTTGTTTAAAACTGAGAGGTAAACTCGGAGGGAGGGATGTGATTTAGAAATGTGTGTATGCCTCTAGTTGCGGCTAGCGGAGTAATAGCTGTTATGGATGCAGCTGATTGGGGAAAGTTTCAAAAGACCACAACAATATAAATGGAATAAAGATGCTTCAGGAGTGAGTGAAGGATAAAAAACCAAAAATCTCTGTTTTATAAAGGTTCATTTGATTTTACAGCTCAGCACTAAGGATTGTCACCTTTGAAATTGCAGTGGTGCCCCATCTTTCCTGCTTGCAGGCAGGGTGAGTGGGGCCAGGTCCATCCGCTGGCCAGATCAGGTCAGTGGGCCCAGTACAGCCAACTGGGTATATTAGGCCCTGTCCAAACCATATCTATGCACCTGGGTAGGGCCCCCCGGCTCAACCCAGCTGCATGTAAACAGGGCCCAATCCCTCAGCATGGGACCAGTCTGGCCCGGGCTGATGCAGCCAGGGAGCAGTGCTGGTGTTAATTGATGCCACTCCCTACTGCTAAATTTCTGGACCCATAGGGAGACCTTTGGACTAGATTAAATAGCTCTGCAGGCCAGGGATTGAGGGTGTCTAGATGGAATTAAGTTCAAACTGAAGCCATTATACTTGAAGTTTGGAAGAGATTTATTTTTATATTCGATACAAATTATCTGTTTATGCATAAAGTACATGCTGAACACAACTGGACAGGTCTCTTGTACCCAGTGAATTGTGAACAGTGCTGCTTCCTTTAAGGAAAGGTTGGGTGTGTTCTCTCTCGCTTTGTTGGCAGAGATTGAAATGCAGATATGCATTTATTTATTAGAAGCATCCTGTGAACAAAGTCAAAATATTTGCTGCTTCTGTTTCAGTTGTTTGTTTAATGTTAATTCTAGTTCCTGGAATTTGTCTTCCATACCTAGCAGCTAATTTTATGGGAGATGGTGTAAATTTTTGTAGTCTCTTTTTATGCACAACAGACGTTTTCTGCAATCCTGAACATTCTGGTAAAAAGCAGTGGTGCTCTGCTACTTCATCTGAACATCTTATTCCTTTCAGAATAGAAATACACATTTCTGAGGGAACTGCTGTTGAAGTTGACAATGAGCGAGGTGCTCACTTTACAGGAAAAGCAAGAGGATGAGGAGGCAGAGGAAAGTGAAGATGACATGACATGTGGAGACTTGGGAAATGGACTTGGAAGAAGACCTGGTGGTGTCTATGAAACAGGTGGTTTAAATGTGCACACATTTAGATCTAGGAAAGGTTCCGATAAGATTTTCAGCCCTTTTCTCTCCATGAAGAAAATGGAAGAAAATGATGTGGCTGTTTTTCACTGTTCAAAATGTAATGGGTTATATGATGTTTCATCCAAGAAGTTTGGAATAATTGGAGCTGCTAGTTTCAGCCGACAAAATTGCTCTGGTAAGACTCATTAGTAATTCATTTTTTGTCTTGAAAGTATCTTTGTGTATAAGATTGAGGTAGTATTCTACTTTACAGTTGTGGGGTATGCTTATATATAAAATATTTTGAGAATGATTGAAAGGTTCCAAGACGCACAGTGTTTGCATAATATCTTGGTATCTGGTATGATTTTATAAGTAAGTGTTGTGTTGTCTTATAGACTTATGTCTGGTGACTGTAAAGTTAAGGTTGCCTTTAAAACAACACAAATGTTTAAGAGCCGTTATTATACTACCTGTATCTTGGTTCTTATGCTGCTAGCCAATGCCTTGATACTTTTTATAAAAAGTATCTAGACTGATATATATGACTATGTAAACTGATGTAAAAAGTGTTAATTTTAATTAGACTTTTGTGAATTGATTTGATATGATAGATACTGAAGTGGTGTATGCATGTGCAGCCAAATCCATTGAGCTACAATTTCAGTTGCCTGCTGAAATGGTCTCTCCCTTCACCTCCTTCAAAAGCTATTGACATTAGGGGTGGAAGCTATGTTAGATTTTATTTCTTCCATCTACCAGTCTGTGGCCCTTCCTTATGTGGAATGGACTTTGCTTTCCAAAGTTTGGTACAGAAGCAGGAAATTGGGAGGGGAAGGGAGTGACTCTTTTCTTTCCTTTATTTAGTGTCGATGTGGAATGACTCAGCCCTGTTCAACTTCCTCATGGCTGTGCTTTGTTTATATATATCACCTCTTGGATTGTATCTGACCATCAGTTTTCAGCTAAGCATTAAGCCTCTTGATACATAATTGGGATTATAGTGCAGCCACAATCTCAAAGTTAAAAAGGTTACTCTATCATTTCTTACTACTTTGTCCCCTGGGTGTCAGTATTTTTTTAAAGCTATTCCTTCTTATCTGCAGCCCTAGTTTTTTCCCCTGTGATCTTGTTTTTGATTTTTATCCCTGCTGCCTTCCACTTCACATGGCAAACCATCACATATACTTACTCTTTTCCTGTGTTGTTAGCAGAATGTGTGGGAAATTTATGGGAATAGAACGCTTCCAGTTAGTTTTACTTGGCTTGTGTTGGCACTCTGCCTAGACCTCTGTCATATAATGAGCTCAGGCAAATGGATTTGGGCACATGTGGCTCCATGTTGAATTCAGCAGGGCTTTGATTGTGGAACTCAATGCAGGTTCAGGGCCTAGAAGAAAATCAGAGTCCACAGAAACCACCTATATTTGTAAAAGGGAAGAGTATTCCCCATCACATATTTCAGTACAGACAGCTTGCATAAGACCAGCTTGCAGAATTGAGATTTTGTGAACACCTGATGTCTTATTTTTTAATTGCTAAAAATCTAAAACAATACCTTTTAAATATGTTGAAAAAAATATTTTAAAATGAAACGTCTTTGGGGCTTTCTTCTGGGGGAAGAACAGGGTTTCGGTTGTTCATATTTCTTTAGGACTGCGTTTTTTTTCTAACTTGATTGTTTTGCAACTGAAATATTATAGATTAGTTCACACGTACAGCTTTATTGTATGTTTAATAATTTTTATTTAGCCTCAGAAAAGTACAAAGACTGATTTAATAAGGCTGTAATGCTCTCTTACCAATGTAAAGATAAAGAAACCTAAGAAAACAATGGGAGTTCTGTGAATGTCTTGGTGTCTCTTATCAATTTAATACAGAGTCTAATTCTGAAGTGCCAAATGAAGAATTAAAGCAGCACCTTCGAGACGCTTTAGAGGTTAGTACTAATCCCAAGTGTGCTGCTTTTGAAGTCTGTATTTACTGTATTAAAACAGAGTGCAATGTTTTATTTGGAGATCTAGAAATACTCAAAGATCCCCAGATAAACACAGGCTCTGCAAATCAGAGAGCTAGTTTGGAGTCATGGTCTAGCAATGTCCCATGAGCTATCCAGAAGCACAAAGTTCACTAGAACTGTAGCAAAATTAAAAGAAGTGAGCAGAATATAGCACACACAGGGCTGTCTCAGAATAAATAATTGACCATGGGAGTGACAACTGCAAAGTACAGTAACTTATTTTCAAAATACATTTGCAGAGAATACAAAGGTTACTTAACTGTGTATTTTTAGCATAGGTTTCACTTTAATGTGCACTCTCACTATTGTTAAGTAATTGGAAACAGGCTTTAAAACACAATAGGAAAAGATTATTGCTTGAAAAGGTCACATTTGATGATAAATTCTGCTGTAGTTGAAACTTAAGAAAATATCTTGGCTTTTACTCACTGTTTTCTTTTTTTTTTCTTTTTTTTTTTTTACCCAAGGAGATAGAGATCTTAAAAGTTGAGCTGGAAACATCACAAAGACAACTTGAAGGAAAAGGTGAAGCATTAAGAATTCTACAAAATATGGTAAGAACTATTTTAAAATCAGTGGTGTTTATTTAAAAATAAATAATAAAAAGCTAAATTAAAGAACAAGGTTTTAATTTTAAAGCATTAAAGCATTGGCAACGTTTGTAGTGTAGCGGGGGTCAGAGCTTGGCCTGGAGCATGGACTGCTTCCAGCGCAGCCTGCACTGCTGGCACTGACAATTCTCCCCACCATCTGACCCAAGTGTGGGCGTAACCATCAACAGCCAAAGTGCCACAGAGGAACCCCAGCTCCAGGGGCCAGATAAAATGGCTCTGTCGCCTGGATTTGGTCTTACACTATGGGTTGCCACCCCCTGCTATGAGAACTACTCAGTTAGCAACGTTAATATATTAGCATCTGTTAATTTTTGTATGTGGCAGTTACAGAAAGCGGCAAACTCTCTATAGTCTGACCATATCCCTCAGCTGAGAGGTACTCTTAAACCCAGCTGCAATATAGTTAACATTTTTAGAGGTTTGTGTGCTGCTTTTGCAGGAAGCAAGGTTTTTTTAGGTGCTGTTAGTCACATATGTAAGGTTTTGTCTTTCATAAGTCATCTGAGCTAGTGATCCTAGCTTTCCCAAAGGATGTACTTATATGCTAGTGAGTTCCAGCCTTCACTTTACAAGTTTTAGATACTGGAACTTAAAATCATATATTCCAATTCTTACCTTGCTTCCTTTGCCCTTAACCAGTACATAAACTAGTCACATTTTAATTATTATTTATGAGCCTAGTTTTGCAACTCCAGACGATATAAAATAATACAATGACTTAATTAGTTTATAAAGCCTGAGGCTTGACTATATCAGCTTCTTCTTTTTTTTGCAGGCTGTGTTTAATAAAGCCACTAGTCATACAAAGGCAATGCTTCAAAAAGCTGAGGAAAAAAAGAGAACTTTAGAAAAGGTAAATGTACAGACATCTGCTGAGATCTGCTACATTATTTTATAATGAATAGATGGTCTTGCTATTTTGGGGCATAGTACAGGTCTTAGGTTCTGCTTGGGTTTGACTGATGGTGGTTCTATCCTTGTAGCTGTAAGTGGCAGTGTTAATTTATTGCACTTAGGTTTGAACAACTTTTACCCATGATGATTTACAAATAATGTATTAGACTATCTTAAAGAAATGAGAAAAGAGTACTGTGTTTCCAGTGGGTTTACTTTGTGCATTTAATGAGACTTGATAGTAATTTACATTATTTTTCAAGTAAAATTACTTATGCTGGGATTATTTGATGTACCAAAATTCCAGTTATTTTAAACGAGTTGGGCACCCATTTCCTTTGAAAACCCCACTTTTAAACAGTGTCCACTTTTTTGTTCATGGACTTTTTTCCTATTAAAAACAGGAGAATATAATTGCAGAAGGACTTTAGGGCACGTGATTTACCCTCTTCAGTCTGAGAATACTTTCAATATTTATTTTTTTATTTTTTTATTAAATGAATTTGTATCGCTGCAGTCAACTGTTAAACTTGTATCTATTGGTGTTTCTAGGTAATGTTACCAGGTTGTAATGCGCAATGTCAAATATGTGAACAGTTTACAGATACATAGGTAGGAATTAGACAAGTGCGAAATATTGCATTTGGATATTAACATGGCATTTTCTTCTATCTGTAAGAACTGCATATGAGAATTCATGCAGTACATTTTGTACAATAATATGTTACAATGAGACAGCATTCCACCTGACTAATGCAGGGATCAGTAACCTATGGCCTGCAGGCTGGATCTAGCCTGAAAAAAATCTAGTCTAGCACTCAAAGGTCCAATCTGGCATGGGGGATCAGTGGCATAGAGCTGCATGATGCCACCTATCGCCTCTGGAGCGCTCTCTTTTGCTGCAGAGCCTGCTGCACTACCCTCACTGCAAAGGGGTCAGGGATCTACAGCAAAAGTGAGTGCAGGCACCTGACTGGCCCCTGGAGGGTGATGGGTAGAGACTTCCAGCTCACAGCCACAGCCTGATCTCAAGTTCCAGCCATGCTAGCAAAAGGCTTTTGATCCCTGAAATGAAGTATAGAACAGTGATTCTCAACCAGAGTGCTGGAGCACCCTGGTGTGCCACTGGATCTTTTGAAGGCTACCATGAGATGTAAGGTTACAAGCCATTGGTAAAGAAACTGTATGAATACATGTGGAAAATTACTGAATTAACTTCCTCAACAAACTGTAACTAGCCTAAAGATCTTTCCAGGCTAAAAATAACTGTCAAAAAACCATACTATAGCAATTACAGTGTGTGGCATAGCAGGATCTTCGGCATTATTTAAGGTTTTAGTATAGTTAACAACTACACTGAAGGTTCTGTTGATTTTGATCTAAGCCACCAAATTAAATTACTATTTAAATCAGCAAGCAGGAATCATTAAAAATGTAAACATTTTAAATCTGTTTTTGCACTTTTATTTAGTTGTTCTTCAAAAAGAATGATTGCTTCTTAAAGGTTAATACTATACAGTACTTGTTAATCAGGAAGACGCATGTTATCTATACATATACAATAAGTTTATATATCTTGATGCAGTTATTCAGAATTTTATTATGTTGGAACATTTATTGATAATTTTTAGTAAATAAGGAATATCTTAGTTTGTATGTCAAGTTGCACATGATTGGAAACTAAGGACTTGTTTTAAAGTGCACATAACTAGCTTTTTAGAATTGCTACATAACACTTAGTGCTAGATACAAACAGAAAAAAGTGCCTTTTATTAATTTTGTTTTGCATCTGTAAGTAAATGATTTATTAAACAAACAAAAGATTTAAATAATTTCTTTAAGTAAAAACATCCAACTACAAATTGGGTGGTTTATTTCAGTTAAGTTTAAATATATTTCTGATCTGTTTTTTAAACTCAACCAAAATAAGCCTGGTTTAAATCAAATAAGTGTCCACACAGACTTCTGCAGTAGCTTGACTGAACGAGTGTATTTTAGTATCTGAAGATATTGCAAAAGACCTCCCTATACTTCACAAATGAATCTAGAGCCTACCTTTAGATGCTTTCTATAGGATTAGTTTAAGTGTGTATATTTTTATTGCTCCTATTTTGATGATTTTATAAGACTAGTTAGGAATTAACACTTAAGTTTTCTAAGGCAAGTACTTCTTAAATTGAATATGAGAATTACTGGGTAGGTTAGTGATTAACTGACACCTTGCAGAGTAGAACTGAACTCTGACATTAAGGGAGACAGTGCTGAGAATTAAATAGCTGTTTGGATAAAAGAGCTAAGTGTAGGGGGAGACATGTTTAAAGTTATGTTATGATGTTGTCATTCTTATAATGGACCATTGCTGTGGCTTTTTTTTCTCTAGGAAATAAATGCTTTGCAATGGGAGATTGAATATGATCAGGATCGATTTAAAAACATAGAAGAGACATGGACAGAAAAATATGATAGGTATTTGAATCCAATTATGTAATCTTCCATCTTTTTAAGTAATAGTAAAATCCCTGTAATCTGGCATGAGTGATGAGTGGGGGTTGCCAGGCATCTAAAAATGCCGGTTCCTGAGGAGTGCAGGTTTCTGGACAGATGTGGAGCAGGGGTTGAAAGTGAGGGTGGCGGCGGCTGCACATGGAGCAGTGGCAGTGGTGGGTGGTGGTGGCTGCTGCTGCAAGCTTCCCTCCTCCCCTGTGTCCGGTCGGCCAGCTGGAAATTCCAGATAGTAGAATGCTGGATGACAGGGATTTTTGCTGTATCTTGTACACATCTTAATTATAATCGGTGCAGTCATATGAGAGTCTCTGGGGGTTTTTGTTTGTTTGCTTTTTCTAATTTCATTCTGGATCTCAGAAAATATACCAGTCCTCCCTGGTAGCCTAGTCATGCCTATTTCTTTGTGTTGTTTTTTTTTTTTAATTGTAAGACCAGAATTGGTAATTGTTAATTCCCTATTCTTACTTGAAAATTTTATTCTGTATCAAGTGGCTTTGCCGGTGTGAGTTTTCAGTTCAGTCTGACTAATTTGTCCTACTAGCTGTTTGGCTTCAAACTGTTCATTCATTTGTTCTTTAATGAAAAATAGAAAATAGTGCTGCTACATGCATTCATGTGGAAATATCACATTGTGATTAATGACTGCTTTTTCTATTTTTTACATTATGTATGAGTAAGAGTAGAGCTCAAGTGGAATGTGATACTCCTACTTGATGACCGTTTTAAATAAGAGTTGTTTACTGATGATGGCAGTTGCTTGGCAGAGTATGCCAAAAATGCTATATCAGTAACACGCTAGTGAACAATGATGAGCAGTAACCAGATTTTCTTTTGGTTTTTTAAACTTAAAAAAATGTAGCTGAAGTCCCAAAAAGTAGAGTAAGAGATTTTAGTGAAGACTATTTAAATTTTTAAAATGAGCATAGAACAAGTGGATAAAAACATGGAAATTAGTTGTTTTTAAGTTGTTTTTTCCTTATCGCTTTTCTAACAAAGTCAGCATTATCAGCAGTGTTCCCTTACACTCATGAGTTCATTCACCTTTGCAAAAAATATTCTGATGTTTGAAACAACTGGATAAGAATTGTGTATCTTTGTATTTCAGCTACATAACCAAAAGGAGTCTTCTGCTCATCAGCAGGGATCCTGGTTTTCTCTCTTTAAAAATCCCAAATACTGTAATTTAAAAAAAAAAAAAAAAAAATCCCAAACTCTCTGATTTTAAAACGCCCCAAGTCCTCATTTTTCTGTGATTAGAATGAAATACAACACTGTGTTAAAAGTCAATGCATACAATGTTTTATCAATGTATTTACATTTTTAAAGTATTTTTGGAAGCTTACCAATGCCTCAATCAATATAATAAAATTAATTCTAAATAGTTATATATTTCGGGGGGTTGATATTTTTTTTTTTTTACCATGGAAAATCGGCTCCCCTGCCCCCTTCACTCACTAGGATGGTGGTCCAGATGTGGCTTCCCCCTTCCCCCCAAACTTTACAAAGCTGAGTAGCCCTGATATGCTGTTGTCTTGCCCCTGCCCATGCTGTTGCCCATCATTCCCAAGCCACAGTCCTCCCCCACAAGCCGTGCCGTGCCGTGCCGTTGTTGCTTGCTCCTGACCCACAGTCCTCTATTCCCCTGGTGCCCCTCACTTCCAACCCGCAGGCCCCCATCCCTGCCAGTGCCCATCATTCCCAAACTGCAGCCTCCAGTCCCCACCACTGCCCCTCACTCTCGACCCCACAGCTCTCATCTGTGCTGGAGCTCCTCACTCCCAACCTGCAACCCCCCTGGCCGTGCAAGTGCTCCTCACTCCCAACCCACAGTCCCCTGCTGCCCCTCACTCCTGACCTGCAGCCCCCTGTCCCTGCTGGTACCCTTCACTCCTAACCCACAGGCCCTGCTGGAGTGGGGGCCCCCAGTTGCCCCCTTCCCATGCAGACTCGCAGCATGGTGGTTTGCAAGACACAGTGGGGACAGCCTCCAGCATGAGATGCTTGCAGCACACCTCATGCATAACTACAGGCAGTGACTGGGGCACCACACGCTGCTCTGCGCCCCTGGCTGGGGCTGGGGTGCAACGGGGAGGACCAGCGCCATACTCCAAAGCAGCAATGTGAAGCAGAGCGTGGTTCTGGTTTGGCCGTGCTGCAGGCAGAAAAAGCAGGGTGAGAAACTCCAGGTGAGGCTCATGCAGGCAGTGGTGGTACGAGTCTGATCCTGGCACGGACTGAAGGAAGGAGGAGGGGATGTTTATGGCACACCCACCCTGGGCTGGGGCTTCTATGCTGCACCAGGTGGCCTGACTATGGCCCCCCAGGCCAACCTGCCCCTGACAACATGGGCACTGGCACCTGTTGTCACTGGCCTGGTGACGCAGCTCCCCACTGCCCCTGCTCCCAAAAGACCTTGCCACCCCCTTCCCCTGCTGGAGGCGCAGGCAGCTCTGGGCGGGCCCTGTTGGCAACAGTATGGAGCTGGGTTCACTGGCAGCTGCCTGCCCCGTCACAGCCCCCACTCCTGGACACCTCCCACCAGCGCCAGCAGGCACCTATCCCCTCCATGCATCTCTGCCACCCTTTCAACCCCACCCACTGTAGACTTACCTGCATGTAGCTGTCGGGGCTGCTCCCATCACACTGCCTGGCTGTATGCTGACCACATGCATGTGCACATGCAGATGCACATGGCACCCCCTGCCTCTAGTCATCCTTCTCCTGCTTTCCCCAGCCCCAAGCAGCTTTTTGCAGGCTGGACATCTGCCAGCCTGTAACAAGAAACCTTCAGTTTTCTCCTTTAAGAGGAAAATCTGCTTTTTTCTGCAACAAACAGGAAAACCCAGATCCCTGTTCATCAGTTTACATATGACGGTTAAAAAGGTTATTTGCTGTATTTAAAACCTCTGAGATGCTTTGGGGAAAGACTTATTACAGTGTTAGGACAAATTGTGTAGAGAGAGGTCTGCATCCCTTTGTTTCGGGCACAAGAATTATTTAAACACCAAATTAAATGCATTAAAATGTATGCTGCACATTTTCACCTTAGGAGCTGAAAATACAGGTGTGCTTTAAAGCTATATTTAAGGATATAGGACATTTTCCCTGTAAAAGGATAAAGTAATCCTGTAATAGACTAATGTGCCCCATTAAACACTATAGGAAGTAAAGGATTTTCTAACAAAAGATTTAAAGAGTCACAATTGCATGTCTTAATGACTGTTCATAGCAACAATAGGATACTGATCTTCTGTAGTCTCTCTAGATAATGTGTTTTCAGGTATCCTTAAAAATCACAAATGTGTAAATATTAAGTATTTTTTAAAAGGCTTTGAAGGTACATTTTCATATTCTTAAAATATGTAACGAGGACTTATGTTTCTATTAAAATAGTGGGCTTATAAATATTAGCAAAATCTCCCACTAGAATGCATTGCCTCTTCTGATATGCTGTCATCATCTTGGTATCAAGGGTTTCTGTTCACCTTTCTCCTCCTCCCAAATGAATGAAAAGTAGTTCTCCATTACTTACTGGCTGCTGACCAATGTACCAGGTTTTTGTGGTCTTGTATCTTCAATTTTTTAATATGTTCTTTGCTCCCTCATTGTTGTGTAAAACTTTTCCACAAACAAGAAAGGAAACATTTTGTCAAAAACACAAATGAAAAATTTTAAGATTAAAAAGTTTCTTTTATGTTTCTCTAGTCCTGATTATAATTTACAAGAATACTACATATAACATTTTAAGATGAGTGTGTATGTGGGCTTGTCTGTTAACTTGTGTGTCCATTTTAATAACTTTTTCAAAGGCAATAAAACTCTGTTTCCAACTTCTACAGGATATATTGTGAAAATGCAGCTCTTAAGGAAACTTTGAAACTGAGAACAGATGAAGTTAAAATTCTTAAATCTGAAAATACAAGTAAGAAAGTGCAAATTTTCTTAGTAGTTTTACCTCTCTCAAAAATTAATCTTATCAAATCATGAAAAAGGATTTAACTGTTTTGATGCAGCTATTAGAACAGAAGCATAATCAAGGTACCTGTTTTTACCGGTTACACGTGGGAATGCTTTAGCATTAACTATACTACCAGTTAGAATTTGCCATACTTAGCAAATTATTGCATGAATTTTGAAGTTCCAGGAACCAATAACTAAAGACAGGAATTCACAACTTGTAACATGTAACTTCAGCAATGCTATTGTAGAGCTGAAAAAATACACTTATCCTGCAGCCTCTGCTTGATGACAAATGACTATATTCCATGGTTTTAGTGTTGTTTTTGGGATGTGGGAGGAAAGATGTTTACTTTTAAATTTCTGGCTGAATATGCTAAAGAGTAGTAATTCCTCACAAGGGGTTCCATTAGCAATAGACTGTGATATCTGAATGGATGTAATAGCTCAAACGAGTGTAATATTAAAAAAATTTTTTTTTTTCTTTTGTTCATGTTTAGGCCCCAAACCTCATCCTGACCCCCACACCTAGCCATTTCCCCCAAAGTACTGTTGGGGGGAGGATGGCAGGGGGTATATCGCTGAAATGTCATGGGATGGAAGTCAAGATGGTATTAAAGGGAATTGTGTGCGTGTGAAAGACAGCATTACTCCTAGTGTAGAACTTTGTCACTCTTGGAACCAGTGGATTCTCATCCCATGATGGCTTTATGATGATCATCAGATTTGCTTTGTTTAATTTTGGGTGTGTAGATCTGTGTTTAACAGGTAGTGCTTGGAGATCTCAACTTACAGCTATATATGATTTTTATAAATGTATATGCATCTACAAATCGTATGTGTATATACAATAGTAAGATATGAGTGTATAGGAAGGAAATGGACTAGGATGTAGATTGATATAAACCAACTAAATTTCAATTATCATTTACATTAGCAAGCAAGAAACATCGATTTAAATCACTTTTATTTGGTTTTATATTTGGGTTGTTTGCCAGAGAAAAGATTGGTCATCATCATCTGGTACACATTTAATAGTGTTGATTTACTACTAAATGTAGCTTTTACACTAAAATTGATATTTATTGGTTAACCATCAATTTATTGTTTAACCATCAATATACATTACATATACCTTTTAAATAGTTTAACATACATTTATTCAGATTATTAATGTTTACTTTTCATTATGTTAAAAATGGTGAATGGTGTTTCCAATTTATTAGATTTAATTTTACTTCTGATTTCTGTCAAGGTTTGTTTGGAGTAAAATTGGAATTCAATTCATATGCTAAAAACCAGTATTGTAATAAGAGATCACCCACAAAAATCCTTGCCTTCTATTCACTTATTTGTTACACCTTTTCTTACTATAAAGTAGGAAATTCTGAAGGACTGCATTTTTAGAAGCAAGCTTAACTTTGACTTCTTTCTTTGACACACTGACAGATTTTGGGTACAGAAGAATAAAGTGGAGATTTGTTTATTTTGCATGTGTGTGTTCACATTCAACTGCTCTCTTAGAATATTATGAGAAAACTATGCAGTTGGCATGAAAAAGACAACAGTAATAATAATATTAGCAAGTGTGTCAGTAAACAAAATAACATTGTTTCAAATGAAACTGGTGCTTATAGTCCATCTTTTAGAAGATGGAGTAGAAATACAGTAAAATTGGGAGAGTATGAAAATAGCAAAAACAAGGTTTAAAAGTTCAGAGTTTAATTTAGAGCAAACTCTTACATCCAAGTACAAAATATAAAAATAATTTTATTATATCATGTATCGCTGAATTATAAATTATATGATATATAATATATTGAGTTATAATGATATACAAACCTACACACACACAGAAATGCACATGTATGTATAGTGTAGCGTAGATTTTTATCCCAAAGCATCCTGAAGTACTTCAAAATATGTAAAACCACTGAAAAGTGGCCACTTGAGGCAGTGGATAGGCAAATGTGATAACAGTCCTGGGTGCTGACTTGAAGGGGATGCAGAAAAAAGCATCTGCTGCCAGCAGCCATGCAATCATAATTGTGATTGAAGCAGCAACCAAAGTCACTACTGTTCCTGTGCCCCAGGCACCTGTCTGCATCCTTACACTGCTGACTTGGACATAGAAGGCAATGTCTCCCTGTTATGCCGGATGCAGGGAGCCCAAGAAAGTCGGGGCAAACTCTTGTTCTTATGAACATCACCATGCAAGTATTTATGACTTCCCAGGGAAGTGAGGATCCTAGTTTTAATAACTCAGCTAGAAGGTTTCCACTGCATAAACTGTAGGATACATAGGTTACTTATTTTAGAGCAGAGGATCTTAGACTGAAGTCTGTAGAGAGATGGATGGTAAAACTCTTTCACTTTATTTCCAGATATCAAAAAGGTGCTAAATGTTTTCCATCAGTATTTTTCTAAGTTAACAATTACTGTAGTTGTAATTGGAACAAAAGTGATTGTGTGTTTTCCAAATAAGTGAAGAGGCATGTTGTGATATAATATCAGTGTTTAAAATACAGTTGTCTTTATGAAAACACTTCAGATTCTTGTTCTAGAAGGAGGAAAGATTGCTGAGGTTTGAGACTCTTTTTCTGGGCAGTTTCTCCCATATTTTATTATACCCAGGGCACACTTTTTTTCCAGATTGAAACTGGTGGCACTCTTACACCTGAAAAAGTGTGTGAGCATGTGTGTGTGTTTTTCAAAACATATAACATATTCCCATCCCCTATCAGAGGAAATCGTGCCAGTCCTGAGATGTACTCTTTAAAAAATGACACCAAACACATCTTTCCTTAAAGCAAAGGATTAATCTCTGTACCAGTGGTTTCAGCCTTTTTAACCTCAAGGTAACCGTCCATAACTCTCTTGAATTTTGTAGCACCCCAGCTAAAAATCACTGAGCTAGATCTAAATTCCAAAAAGATATGGAGTGGGGCCTTAAGGCTAAGGAAATTGGGAATCGCTGATCTAGCTGGTGCCACTTAAGGGCAGTGGGGGAAGGCCCTCACCCTGCTGTGCCTTGCTCTTTCCACTGTCTGTCCCTTCCTGACCCTGTACCTCAGAGGGCACTGGGCAACCCCCTGCTGCTGAGGCCACTCCTGCAGGATCTCATGCCAGGGACCACCCTTGCGGCTCCTTCTGCGATTTAGGAGTGTGGAGGGGCTGAGTCCAGCTGCAAAGTGTGGCTCTGTCTGTGTCCATCTGCTTGCAACAGAGCATGCTGCTGAGAGTGTGGGTTGGGGGATGGGATTGGAGCTACTTAGGGACAGGGAAGGGTAGGAGAAGGTGGCAGCAGCAGTGGCAGTCCCCAGGGGAGCAGCCACAGGTGACATTGGAGTAGCTGGAGTGGGGGCAGGGTGCTGGATAGAGGAGGAGAGAGCATTTACCTCTGCCCAGGAGGAATCTCACAGTACACTTCTGTCACTTTTGCAGTACACTCAGCATCAGCGTTCTAGGGAGTTTACGTATTCCTAACCTGATGTTTAAACACTCAAATGAGCTGCTTAATTTGTTAAGGCATTGAGTGATTAGAATAATAATAAATTAATTTTAATGTTTGATTTCATAGTTCTGAGTCAGCAGCACTTGGAATTTCTTGCAATGCTTGATGTGAAACAACAGAAGGTTGTTCAGGAAAACATGTCTTTTAATAAAACTGGATTTACAGACATTACGGGTCTTGAAGTAAGTAGAAATTTTCCATTATACTTCCCTTTTTTTTTTTAATAAAGGTGGCTTAAAAGTATTTTTTGAGTTTGCTGAATTTGCTTACTATGTAACAAAGTTCTAGGAGACGGATTTCTTTCCAGTACATTCATTTGGATAATTTTTGAGAATACAATATGAGCTTTTAGTAGCAAATAGTAATGTGGGGCTTATCAGGTGGGCATGGCATGCCCTTACAGGTTTGCAATAGTAGCATCCAAACTTGAGCATTTGGATGCTTTGAGGCTACTTTCGGGAAGGAAGAAACATCAAGCTCACATGGTTATTACTCTGTCTTGAAGCTTAACATTTTTTCTTAACGAGAAAACAGATCTATTCCCTGAAAACCTTATTAAAGTATAAATAGTCTGTTGAATCTTTTCTCTGTCCCCCTTCAGTTTGGTGGGAGCTGCTTTTGCAGCTGGCTCCTGGGCATTTGAAGCTGTAAATGGTCCACTGTCCTGTTTGTTGTGCTGTAAATGTGGCAAAAACAGTGATGGCTACGAATCTAGTTTATATGATTTAAGGTCTGATGGATTTTTCAGAGATCATTTTGTAATGTATCCAAAACTGAATTTTCCAGGCTAAGAGAGGAAACATTCGCAAGGGCAATCATATGTTATAGCAAATAGATTCCATGCTCCCAAAAGTATTTATTCTAGCCTGGCTATGATGCAGTCCTTTCCTGATTCCTTTGTTATTCAGTTACTAGGGGTCCCATTTTCAGAAATATTCAGGAAATTAAGATGAATTAGCTAAAGGTGAGAAGTTAAGGAATATTTGTAACAACGCATTAAAAATCCTATATGAGTACACTTATATGGAAGTAAAGTGGCTTTAGTTTGCTGCAACTTAATCTTCCTACAGTAGATTAAATCTATGTCACTTCTGAATGAGAATTTTCTTCAAGTTTTATTGTGCTTTAATGAACATTCCTTAACCTCACGTCATTAGTTAATTATCTTAATTTTCCATGTAGATGAGCCTTGAATAGAGAATACCCAAATCCCCCTTCACCTCTCACCTTTGACATATTGCAGCAAGTCTTCAAACCAAGCAGTGAATTGCCATAATAAGTATTATAGGCTTTATTATAAATGGTTACGTATAAAGGAACTCAGGAACCACAACAAAACTAACATTTTTATAAAGTGTATTTAGCAAATATCACTTGTCATATTTCAAGTTTAAACAGGCATACATAATCACGTTTGGTTTCCTTGACCCCCACCAACCACTATGATCTCAGGGTATTTTTGCTTCAAACAGACTAGATTCTTTAGATTTTATTTTAATGTGAACATAGTTGAGTAACTGGTGTAATGCTTTTGAATTTGAAGTTGGCAGTTCTTGGAGCCTGCACCTGTAATCCTTCTGGAGAGCCCTGTTCCTGTGCCAAAATGTCAGCTGTAACTCGAAAGCAGCTCCTGCAGCTTAAACAAGAGGTAAGACAGTATTGCTTGGATGTAGAGCAGAACAGATGTTTCATTTTCATGAAAATATTCCAAACCAGCTGCTAGTTGGGCAGTCAAAGGTATTTAAAAAACACAAAGTTTCAAAACTTCTGAAAATCAATATTTGTATGACCCACAGCACATACCAATAATAATCATAGTCTAGAAACTTTTGCTGTTTGACTAATGCTAGGTAGGGGAGTGAGGGGTTTTTTTTGTTTTTTTGTTCTTTTTAGTAACACTTCCGTGCTGGCAGAAGATCCCATAAGTGCAATTGCACTGGCAATAAAGTGCTCTTTTGCTGTATAAGCTGTGAGGATTTGTTGGTATAGCCAACCTGTGAACCTTAGCTCTAGTGTAGACTAGATCGAAGCTGTAGTGTAGACTAGATCGTTTGATAGGGATGGTTTAGCAGTTGCTAGAAAATGAACTTGGATAGATATTGGGTAATATTTTTGCCTCCAAATCAGTATGGGACTTTTTTTTTTCCAGCAATGATGTCAGGGGTGGGTTGTAGAATTGACATCTAAATTATCACATAGCAGTTTTCTGTTGAGTCTGATATGACCCTTTAAATCAGGATTATTGTATTTGGACTCTACACAATTTTCAATAATCCATGAAAAATGTTTGTCTTAAATCAAAACTGTAGTCTTGTCTTTCTCAATAGTTCAAGAATCCTGAATGAGGCTATAAAAATTATGAGATTAAAAATATAAATGCAAAAAAACAGGCCAAAAATCATGATTTGATTTTAAATCTCCCTCCCCCTAGCTTCCCTGTTCAAATCAAGAAGCAAAGTCTACAATTTTACATATTTTTTTTTCCTTTTTAGGAATCACCTTCCACATAAATTGCAGTATATTTTGAGAGGAAAAATCCAATATGTATCAATTAAAGCATACGTTTTGTTAATCTGTAATTTGGTATATTTATTTTTAATTTTTCAAAGGATAGGAAGTGGTAAATTTATTTTGCATTCTCCAAAGATATTATCCTTCCTCAATCTTCTATAGGTATAGGTTTGAAATTCCTATTCAAGTGGCAATGTTGAAAATAAGGACCCTGCTACACATGCAGGTAAAGGCATGATGTGGTCTAATACGCAATTCACATGATCACGCCTCCTGCTGTGCCACACGTACATGGCAGGAGGTGCAATTGTGGCATTGCGCGTTAAATCCCATCATGTCTTATTGGTAGTGCAGGGGGAGCCCCATCCTAGGCTCCTACCACATCAGCAAGAAACAAGTTCCAGCAACTGGGAGCTCCACACAACCCCGGTGAGGGACTCACAGCCACAGGGGTTCCACCTGCCCCAAGGGTGTATGAAACCCTCAGGGTGGGAGGATCACTGGGGATGCTGGAAACCCCTGGAGCTGGAGGATCGCCACCAAGGCAATTCTCCCCCAGCTCCGGGGGCGTGGGGAAACCCCTGGGGCTGGAGGATCACCCCTACAGCAATCCTCCAGTCCTGTGGTTGCCTGTACCGTTGTGGAGGGGAGAGCGTCCTGGAGTGATCCTCTGGTTCTGGGGGTTTCCCAGCATCCCCAGGGTGAGGGGGGGATCACTCCTATGGCAATCCTCCCACCCCGGCTTTTCACACATCTTGAGGGCTGGGATATTGCCTCAGCAGAGATCCTCCCACCATGGGGGCTTGCTAGGAGGTATGCTGCAGGGTCCCTGCACCTAGCTGTGGGGTGCTGCTGAGACCCAGAGTCCGTAGGTGCTGGGGCTGAGAGTCCCCAGCTGTGGGACTCCCAGCCCCTGCTACAACTGCAAATCAAATCTTGATAGCGACCAGCTATGTAGTTAGTACACATTTTCGAAGTCTAACTTGATAGCTGGTTGGAGCTTTGTATTGTGTGATAGCTACTTTGCACGTGTAGCTGGTCTCAAGGTAATACAATACTTGGAACATGTAAAAGGAGCCTAACTGATACCATGGCACTACTTTTACCTGAGTTGGTCCCGTGATACTTTTTCATCAGTTTCTAATAATGTGATTCTTTTGCATACATACACAGCTATGGAATGATAGCAGTGCTGAGTACAAGTGACTTGTGATTTTCTTGGTACTCTTCAAGCTGTTCCAAAATTAAACAGTGCTACCATAAAGGCATAAGGAGCAGAGTACGCATATAAACAGTGATGGGGAGAGGAAGAATTTCATATCCTGCTTAATTTTTTTTTTAAGTGAGTGATTTGGGATGGTTTAAGAATGGCAGTCACACAGGGGATTGGACTAGATCAAGGGCAGGCAATTATTTTGGGTGGAGGGTTGCTTACTGAGTTTTGGCAAGCTGTCAAGGGCTGCCCCTGGAAGTACTCCATTCAGCAAGGGGTTTTGCCATCTCGGAACCAGAAAAATACCAAATTATATTCTAAAAAGCAAACATCTATAGCGTTCATTAATTTGATTTAAAAAAATATTTTCCCCTGGTTTACATGTTTGTGTAGTGTACACAGAGGTGATTGAATAAGCTTACTGAGTTTTGGCAAGCTGTCAAGGGCTGCCCCTGGAAGTACTCCATTCAGCAAGGGGTTTTGCCATCTCGGAACCAGAAAAATACCAAATTATATTCTAAAAAGCAAACATCTATAGCGTTCATTAATTTGATTTAAAAAAATATTTTCCCCTGGTTTACATGTTTGTGTAGTGTACACAGAGGTGATTGAATAATATCTTCATAGATTTCATAGACATTTGGGCTGGAAGGGACCCTGGAGCATCGAGTCCAGCCCCCTGCCCCAGGGGCAGGAAGTCAGCAGGGAACATAGGATCCCAGCAAGATAAGCATCCAAATGTGTCTTGAAGGCGTTCAAAGTGGGTGCTTGAACCACCTCTGGTGGCAGTGTATTCTTCACTGTCCAAACCCCCAAGGTTTGGAAGTTCTTTCTTATGTCCAGCCTGAATTGGTCACAGTGGAGTTTGTGACCATTCGATCTTGTCATCCCTTGTGGGGCTCTGGTGAACAGACATTCCCCCAGATCCTGATGAGCACCCCTGATAAACATATAGGTGGCCACCAGATCACCCCTGAGCCTGCGCTTTTCCAGGCTGAATAGCCCCATGGCTCTCAGCCTCTCATCATAAGGTCTGTTTTCCTGACCTCTGATCATGCGCGTGGCTCTCCTCTGCACCCTCTCCAGCTTCTCCACATCCTTTTTGAATTGTGGAGCCCAAAACTGGATGCAGTACTCCAGCTACGGCCTCACCAAGGCCGAGTACAGTGGGAGAATGATGTCCCAGGATTTGCCTGAGAAGCATCTATGGATGCAAGCCAGTGTTTTGCTCACTTTACTAGCCGCAGCATCACCCTGAA